AAGACTGAGAGTATTTATCCTATTTAAGGCAACAAAAATAAAAATAAAATGCAAAATATATTTATTGTGTCTCAGATATTGACGAATGTAAAGGAAATCACTCTTGTCACCTGAATGCTACCTACGCGAACGGCAACGGATCGTACGTTTGTACTTGTAAGCCCGAATGTACTGGAAATGGACGCAATTGTACAGCTACTTAATGCCTTACTTTTGTGACCCATCACATTCGAGAGAAAAGTAATATCATCCGTGCCGAAAAGTGTATACTTATTATATCATACATTTCCAGATAGAAAAGGAAAAAAATGTGGGCCGGTTGGTGTGGCAGACAAGAATACAATTCCAGATGCCAGAATGACAGCAAGCAGTATTCACAGTCGGAATTATGCTTCATACCTCGGCCGACTGAATGAAACCAGGAGACGAGGAGGGTGGTGTCCTAAGACTAGATTTGATAAAACCGACTACCTTCAAGTAGATATGGGTTCAGTGCTGTCTGTTTGTGCTGTGGCTACTCAAGGAGAAGAGGAACTTCTGGAATGGACCACCAACTATAAATTGTGCTTATCCATTGACGGTTCAACTTGTAACCCTTACGAGGAGAAGAATAAAACAAAGGTTTGGAAATACCAGTAAATAAAGGGTTGATTTGATCAACAACAATGAGTAATGGTTATAGGGCAAGGAGACTCTAACTTGGTCCGTGAATAACGTGAGTGAGTTACAACATTGTATCACTGCAAGCAAGAGTGTGAATTGTCGTTGGTCACAAGTATGGTTATTGACTTTACGGTGGGACGGAAAGTCGTGACCAATTAGCCTGAAATATTGCAAAGTTGGAGAAACAAAATAGCCATCTTTTAAACGCATTAATAAAGAACAGATAACTTTTTTGCGAGGGAAAATGGACCACATGTCCAGAAGGTTTGAAAAGGACTATAATTGACACTTTTTAGTAAAAATTAAAGAGTTCGTGGCTAATACGAATAGTTTGCAACGGGATATAAAGCTAAGGAAATCGTTTCATCTTTAACATTTACTTCTGGGTATCATAAGACGAGTAATAAACAAGCGATTAAATAAAAAGTGACAGAAAATTCTACTCCGTTTGGAAATTTTGGGCCGCAACAATTAGAGCACAAATTGTGTGAAAGATGTGAGCTGTTGAGACCTGCTCAAAGGCCCCTCCCTGCTTACCCCTTCTGCCCTCCCCCACCTAACAGCACCTCTTTACTTAAATGAAACGTAAAATTGGTGGACCATAACGAGGTGTTCAGTTTCTTACGTTTTTTTCTCGGTTTGGTTTATTCCAGGTGTTTCAAGGAAACTCGGATCGAACAAGTATCGTGAAGCATTTACTTAGAACTGACTTCAAAGCCAGATACGTTCGGTTTTATCCTGTCTCATACCACAACTGGCCTTGTTTGAGGGTTGAAATATATGTGTTTAAGTAATAAATTTAAGATGTCAACTGGAAAAAAACAAACACCTAGTTTACAGTAGGAAATTGAAAATTACCAAACAAACTAAAAACTTTTTTAACTATCTAACCACTACACACCTTTCGCTGCAGTATAATAAAACAGTTATGCATGATAAACGTAAAGTTGAAAAGGTATTCTAGATCTGTTCTGAAAGTTGAGTTTAGTCACTGTCGCTTATTCATTCTGCGCTATGGTTAGTTACTGTCGGTGCGAGTTTTCTCAATTNCTGTGAGCTGCAGATCCAACGGTTGGCTAAGGAGGAAGAAATCAAACTAACCCTTTTTGCCCATGACATGACTTGTTTCCTTAGAGATACTAAGTCATATCACCGTTTAAGTGTCGACTCTGGAGTCGTTTTCGAGATTCTCCAACCTCCAAGTTAATAAAGATAACACTGAAATTTTTGCAATTGGTAGCCATCGTCTTGATCAAAACAATTATGCTCATGAAGTACGAACTTCAATTAAAATTCTAGGAATTTTTTTGACTATAACGTCTCATCCAGGATGAAAGCAAACTTTGAAGCAATTTTAAAGTCTATCAAAAATACAATAAATATGTGGAAATGGAAAGGGCTTACAATTCTGGGAAGGATACAGGTTGTTAAATCGTTTATTATCCCTAAAGTCTTGAATAAAGCGTCGTTGATTACAGTCACAGATGATTTAATCAAAGTGGTCAACAGTCTGATGTACCATTTTATTTGGAAAGGCAATGATAAAATTAAACGCGCCGCTCTTATCAATGATATTGAGGATGGAGGGCTTAAGATGTTGGATATTCAGTCGATGATCCTCGCACAGAGGGTGATGGTGTTGAAAAGATTTACAAATAAGGATAATAACAGCTCTTGGAAAATAACATTAAATTACTTTCTTTCTCAGGTAGGGGGAGAGTTTATTCTTAAGTGTAATTTTGATACAAGACAGCTACCTATCTACCTTCCGACCTTTTATAAGGCGTGCCTGGACGCTTGGTCCAGGTTGAGGCAACCTTCGACTCTTTCGTACGAAGATGTAGTTCATCAGGTTATATGGAACAATAAAAAATATTACAGTCCAAAAGATCTTACTTTTTGAAAAACACTTGTCTTCTAAAAGAATTGTTACGATCGGTGAAAAATAATCTGCTAATTTCTCGACTTGAAAAAGCACCTTGAGAGGGAAGCTGAATGAGTTTGCTCACAAGTTTTGAGTATAGGTTTTTTTTTTTTTCTGAAATTTATATAGTCTCTAGCATAAGAAAAAGAAAACAAGAATATAAAAACAGTTTAGCAAAATTTAAAAAGCCATCACAGATAGTTAAGACAGACAAAATTTTGAAAGTTCCAGCACACTATTTGTAATTTGGAGTCGTGTTACAACTTTGCACTCTTGTTGCATAAAAAGTGCGTTCGTTTTCAGTCAATCAAATGTGCGTTACTTTTCCATGTACAGTTGTTCTGAATAAAACAACCATAAGAGTATTCTTTTACGTTAAGAGCAGTTTTGTGGATAGCTAATGACGCGTAAGGCTTGAGGTTCCTGGAAGGTTAATATATTCCCTTGTCAAAGAAATTATTTTCTTATTAATTTTTCCATTAGCAATCCTTTATTAACAAATTGTGGAGTTCCTTAGTTAAACACTACACTATTGAAGAACTCGAGGGATAACTCATTACACGACGTTTAAAAGCTAATTTAGACCGATCATGATGTTTCGCAATAATAACTTGTCAACTTTGGCAGTTTTAAATCGCACAATTCAAGCATTTTGTGTTTAAGGAGAAACCTTTGTTTTATCCTTTGCAATGATTAATAGCATCGCAAGACTGAGAGTATTTATCCTATTTAAGGCAACAAAAATAAAAATAAAATGCAAAATATATTTATTGTGTCTCAGATATTGACGAATGTAAAGGAAATCACTCTTGTCACCTGAATGCTACCTACGCGAACGGCAACGGATCGTACGTTTGTACTTGTAAGCCCGAATGTACTGGAAATGGACGCAATTGTACAGCTACTTAATGCCTTACTTTTGTGACCCATCACATTCGAGAGAAAAGTAATATCATCCGTGCCGAAAAGTGTATACTTATTATATCATACATTTCCAGATAGAAAAGGAAAAAAATGTGGGCCGGTTGGTGTGGCAGACAAGAATACAATTCCAGATGCCAGAATGACAGCAAGCAGTATTCACAGTCGGAATTATGCTTCATACCTCGGCCGACTGAATGAAACCAGGAGACGAGGAGGGTGGTGTCCTAAGACTACAGGTGATAGAACCGACTACCTTCAAGTAGATATGGGTTCAGTGCTGTCTGTTTGTGCTGTGGCTACTCAAGGAGAAGAGGAACTTCTGGAATGGACCACCAACTATAAATTGTGCCTATCCATTGACGGTTCAACTTGTAACCTTTACGAGGAGAAGAATAAAACAAAGGTTTGGAAATACCAGTAAATAAAGGGTTGATTTGATCAACAACTATGAGTAATGGTTATAGGGAAAGGGGACTCTAACTTGGTCCGTGAATAACGTGAGTGAGTTACAACATTGTATCACTGCAAGCAAGAGTGTGAATTGTCGTTAGTCACAAGTATGGTTATTGACTTTACGGTGGGACGGAAAGTCGTGACCAATTAGCCTGAAATATTGCAGAGTTGGAGAAACAAAATACCCATCTTTTAAACGCATTAATGAAGAACAGATAACCTGTTTTGCAAGGGAAAATGGACCACATGTCTAGAAGGTTTGAAAAGGACTATCATTGACACTTTTTCGTAAAAATTAAAGAGCGTGGCTAATACGAATGGTTTGCAACCAGATATAAAGTTAAAGAAATCGTTTCATGTTTAACATTTACTTCTGGATATCGTAAGACGAGTAATAAACGAGCGATCAAATAAAGAAAAGTGACAGAAAATTATACTCCGTTTGGAAAATTTGGGCCGTAACAAAAAGGGCACAAGTTGTATCAAAGATGTGAACTGTTGAGACGTGCTCAGAGGCCCCTCTCGTGCTTACCCCTCCTGCCCTCTCCCCCCACCTAACAGCACCTCCTTACTTAAATGAAATATAAAATTAGTGGACTATCACAAGGTGTTCAGTTTCTTTTCTCTTTTTTTTCTCGGTTTGCTTTCTTCCAGGTGTTTCAAGGGAACTCGGATCGAACAAGTATCGTGAAGCATTCACTCAGAACTGACTTCAAAGCAAGATACGTTCGGTTTTATCCTGTCTCATACCACAACTGGCCTTGTTTGAGGGTTGAAATATATGTGTTTAAGTAATATATTTAAGATGTCTACTGGAAAAAAAAAAAACAATTTACAGTAGGAAAATAAAAATTACCAAACAAACTGAAAAACTTTGTTAACAATCTAACCACTAAACCCCTTTCGCCGCAGTATAATAAAACAGTTATACATGATAAACGTTAAGATGAAAAGGTATTCTAGATCTGTTCTGAAAGCTGTGTTTAGTCACTGTCGCTTATTCATTCTGCATTATGGTTAGTTACTATCGGTGTGAGTTTTCTCAATTTTCCGATAAGTTGATAGCATATGCAAACAATACCAGTAGATACAGAGGAATCGAGATTCCTGAAGCGTGGATGCCTGTAACTTAAGGGCGGAGTAACCAGCCCACCCAACGACACATCAGACCTCTAACGGAGCAACGTCATCTTGGAGCATTAATGTACCAACAAGAGCGCTCTAAAACATACCAATAGCAGCTCACTATGCCACAACAGTAGCACTGGGTAACTATTCAGCGTCATTGCTTGATGAAGAAAAGCACTTAAGCGTTGGTAGAGTCACAATTTACATTTAATAGCTTGATCACAACTCCACACTGAACAGTAGATGATCTTTTTGATGAGAAAAAAGGTTACGCTTAATGTTCAGTTAGTTTCCAAGATCTGCTTTTTGAGGCACTTGATAATAATTAATGAGTTAAAACGTATGACATGTAAAATTCCCATCAAGAAAAAGAAAGGATGGTGCTGTATAAGCTAATTAATATGTATTTTGAAAGGGTTTGCACCATTTCGTCTGGAGTCCCTTGTTGTGATGATCTTTGAAATAGAACTATAGCAACAAACAAAACCGAGAACAACTTTCAAACTAAGCTAAGCCATAACTTTTGCAGGGATAACTCTTAATGTAGGTCGACAATTATGAATAATGTCAAATAAATAATAATAATAATAATAATAATAATAATGATAATAATGATAATAATAATAATAATATAATAATAATAATAATAATAATAATAATAATAATAATAAAACAAACGAACAAACAAAAGGAGAAAAAAATACGTACCTCCCAGAAATCTGATGTTTCTTTTAGCAATACACCCCTTGATAGCATGGAAGTTGAATTAGAAATCTTAAGATCTATCAGTACTTTAGTTATTATGATTGGTAGCTAACTCTCAAATTGCCTACATTAGTGTAGGGGGCCTTTCTGGAATAAACCGAGTGGTCTGGGTCCTACTGGCTCGGCCGAGTGAGTTCTAATTAGTTATTCATACCGCGTAGGTGCGCGAGGGTGATTTTTAGGGTTTATTCATACAGCAGAGGTATAAGATACAATGAAATATATGAAGTTCATATATTTTGTACTGCGGTATTAGATACATATGATGCACGGTCCTCGCAGTAGATAGCGCTATTTAAGCAAAAGCGAAAATCAGACCTGAAAAAAAAATCAGGCCTGTACGGGATTCGAACCACTAACATCTTTTTTAGGTCTGATTTTCACTATTGCTTAAATAGCGCTATCTACTACGAGGATCGTGCATCCTATGTATCTAATACCGCAGTAAAACATATATGAACTTCATATATTTCATTGTATCTCATTTATCGCTTTCACAGGTTTATTACGAATCAACTTAACAGCCTGCTCCCAGTTGGCTTGTTAGCTCAATTGGTAGAGCGCTGCACTAGTATCGCAGAGGTCAGTGGTTCGAATCCCGTACAGGCCAGATTTTTTTCAGGTCTGATTTTCGCTATTGCTTAAATAGCGCTATCTACTGCGAGGATCGTGCATCATATGTATAGCAGAGGGATAGGAGGGGTTTCTAGGGTCAGGGTTAAATCAGTGTAGATGTACGAGGGATTTTTTGGGGTTAAGGTTAGATCTCGCGTTGGTTCGTGAGTCGGGTTTTTCAGTTTTTAAAAAAATTAACGGTACAAAAGAAACAAAAGAATCCAAGATGACGAC